GCCATCAGGATTCACTTTTACTATGACGATGTTGAGGTCACTAATCCACTAGGTAGCAAAACGAAGATTCATAAACTTGGATTATTCTATTATACTATCGATAATCTTCCACAAAGATTTAATTCGACCATGGATAGTATACATTTAGCTGCAGTATGCCATGCACAAGATTTAAAAACACGTGGCTTTGAGCCTATACTCCGTCATTTTATCAAAGAGGTTAACCAGTTGGAATCTGATGATGGAATGCAAATTCTAGTTGGAGACGAAATGGTGACTGTACACGGCACAATGGTAACATTCTGTGCTGACACTTTAGCAGCGCATGAAGCTTTTGGTTTTCTGGGACCATCTGCCAATCACTTTTGTCGATTGTGCATGATAAATCGTCAAGATATAAGAAATTTGCTTTCGGAAGATGACCTAGAACACAGAAACATTGAACAACACGACGAACACGTCGAACAGGCATCAAGAATGCGAAATGGAAATCCTGCGAGTGGCGTTAGAACGAAAAGTATTTTTAACGAGCTCAGATACTTCCATGTTGTTCTAAATTACAATTTTGATGTGATGCATGATATGCTAGAAGGTGTGTGTCCCATGGAAGTAAAATTGATCTTACACCACCTTATATTTATTGATCGGCTTATCTCTGTTGATCAGCTAAATAGACGGATTAAAGCATTTGGATATGCCTATTGTGATAAGACAAACAAACCATCTGCTTTATCAGAGGCCTCATTGCGAAACCTTCTTGATCACAGTTTAAGCCAGAAAGCTGCACAGATGTGGTGTTTGGTTAGGATGCTACCTTTCCTTGTTGGAGATCTAGTGCCAGCAAACCACCTGCAATATGGACTTCTTTTGTCATTGTTGCAGTGCATGGATCTTATCTTTGCACCACGTGTACCTAAAGGACATTGTGTTCTTCTGAAATATCTAATTATAGAGCATCATACGTTACTCAAAGATATATTTCCTGATGCACGTTTCATTAACAAGCATCACCATATGCTTCATTACCCAAAGTGTATTCTCATGTTTGGCCCTTTAACCAGGACGTCCTGCTTGAAATACGAGATGAAACACAATTTCTTCAAACGTCTTGCACACATAACTTGTAACTTTCGCAATATCTGCAAAACTATGGCAAATCGGCACCAGATGCGCCAGTGTAGCGTCTGGTCTATGGGAATTGGAATTCGAGCTGAACTGGAATGCAATGGTGGAGGTTGTGTCAAGATTTGTAAGCTACGTGGTAGTGCAGAAGCCATGCACTACCACGTAGCTTACAAATCT